GATGGAGTTTCACTCGTTGCCCAGGCTGGAGTACAATGACGCAATCTTTGCTCACTCCAAGCTCCGCCTTCCAGGCTCAAGTGATTCTCCTGCCTCAGCCTCCCAAGTAGCTGGGATCACAGGCATGCGCCACCACGCCTGGCTAATTTTGTAGTTTTGGAAGAGACAGGGTTTCTCCATGTCAGTCAGGCTGGTCTTGAACTCCCAACCTCAGGTGAACCGCCTGCCTTGGCCTTCCAAAATGCTGGGATTACAGGTAAACTACCGTGCCTGGCCTATGCTTTATTATATATAACAAATATAATTTTTTTTTGAGACAAAATCTCGCTCTGTTCCCCAGGCTAGAGTGTAATGGTGCAATGGCAGCTCACCGCAACCTCCACCTCCTGGGTTCAATCGATTCTCCTGTCTCAGCCTCCCGAGTAGCTGGGACTATAGGCATGTGCCACCACCCCCGGCTAATTTTTGTATTTTTAGTAGAGACGGGGTTTCCCCATGTTGGTTATGCTGGTCTCAAACTCCTGACCTCAGGCGATCCACCTGCCTTGGCCTCCCAAAATGCTGGGATTACAGGCATGAGCCACCTCGCCCAGCCTAAATACTATGTTATTATTTCTGTGACAGAGTCTCACTCTGTCACCCAGGCTGGAGTGCAGTGGTGCAATCTTGGCTCACTGCAACCTTCGCCTCCTGGATTCAAGCAATTCTCCTGCCTCAGCCTCAAGGGTAGTTGAGACTATAGGCACGCGCCACCACGCCCGGCTAATTTTTGTTATTTTTAGTAGAGACGGGGTTTCACCATGGTGGTCAGGCTGGTCTCCAACTCCTGACCTTGTGATCCGCCCACCTCGGCCTCCCAAAGTGCTGGGATTACAGGCGTGAGCCACCACACCCGGCCTGAATACTATATTATTAAGACTACCTTTGGGGGAGGAACATGGACTTACAGTGCAGAGCTTCTACTTTTTTCCTCTTGAACTGTTCACATTCTGATTATTTTTTTAACCAGAAACAAAAACTTTTTTCATTTAGAAAAAGCAGACTCTTCAAAATGATACGTCCTCCTCATGTGGCATCAGAAAACACACTCACTGGGCATTGTTTCCACTGCTTTCCTCATCAATGATTCCAGGCACAGCCTTTCCTGCAGCTCGGCTAATTTCCCTTGAACAAGAAAAATTAAAATCTAGTAAACAAAAAAAACTCTGAGAATTTCACAGTGCATTCATTAATATAGTAAGTATGAACTGGATGCAAGGATTTTGGAGACTTCAAGACACAATTTTAAAAAATAAAAGTAGACCCACACATCTTTTGGAATCTCGCAGAAGTTAACATTAAAGTGTCAGAATCAGTTTTCCTCTCTTGTGACTTTTGAGGAAGGGGTTCATATTCTAGGTCCACATTTCAGTAGAATTCCTAGCATAAAGGAAGTTCAAGTGTGGAATGAATAATTTTTTTTTTTTTTTTTTT